GAAATAAGGAGTAAAAACAGCAGAATAGAAAATTTCAAAGGGCAGTTCAAGATGACAAAATCAAATATTATAATTAAATGTATAAAGATCTGGAGTTAGAAAACCAAAAAAAGAAGAACACGTTCAGTATTTCTCAAGCTGCAGGAAGTGAAGGAAAAATATTCAAGCTTCGACTTGCAATAGTGAAAGGTTCTATGGGCAAACTCTTGAATGATGCAGAAAGCATCAAAAGAAGATGGAAGAAATACACAGAATCACTATAGCAAAAAGAAATGGTTGATGCTTAACCATTTCAGGAGGTACCATATGATCAAGAGCCAGTGATACTTGAGGAAGAAGTCCAAGGTGCACTGAAGACATTGGCAAAGAAGACAGCTCCAAGAATCGATGGAATACAAATTGAAATCTTTCAACAGAGTAATGGGACACTCATAACAAAGTAAAGAGCCAATGATTCTGCAGGAAGAAGTTTAAGCTACAATGAAGTCATTGGCAAAGAAGAAGACACCAGGAATTGATGGAATACAAATTGAAATCTTTCAATACAGTGAAGTGGCACTGGATGCACTCACTCATCTCTGCCAAGAAATTTGGAAGACAACTATCTGGCCAACTGACTGGAAGAGATCTGTATTCGTGCCCACTCCAAAGAAAGGTGACCCAATGGAATGTGGAAATCATCGGACCATATCACTGATATCCCATGTGAGTAAAATTTTACTAAATGTAATACAGAAATGGCTGCAACCATACACTGACAGGCAACTTTCAGAGGTTCAAGCTGGATTCAGAAGAGGACATGGAATGAGGGCTATCATTGTAGAGGTCAGATGGGTCTTGGATGAAAGCATAGACTACCAGAAAGAGGTTTACTTGTGCTTACCTATGCTGACTACACTAAGGCATTTGATTGTATCATGACAAGCTATGGACAAAATTGCACTTAATTGTGCTCATGAGGAACCTGTGCATAAACCAAGAGGCAGTTGTTCAAATAGAATAAGGGAACACTGAATGGTTTAAAATTAGGAAAGGTATGCGCCAGGGTTGTATTCTTTCACTATACTTATTCAGTCTGTATGATGAATAAATAATCTGAGAAACTGGATTATATGAAGAAAAACGTGGCATCACTATTGGAGGTAGCCTCATTAACAACCTGTGATATGCAGATGATATAACCTTACTTGCTGGAAGTTGTTGTTATGTGCTGTGGAGTCGATTCCAACTCATAACAACCCTATACAGGGTTTCCAAGGCTGTAAATCTTTACTTGAGCAGAAAGCCTCATCTTTCTCATGAGGAACAGCTGGTAGTTTCGATCTGCTGACCTGAAGGTTCACAGCCTGATTCGTAACTGAAGTTAAGAGAACTTAAAATACTGAATGATAAAGATTAAGATTATAGCCTTCAGTATGGGTTGCACCTCATGGTAAAGAAAACAAAAATTCTCTCACCACTGGACCAATAAATAGCATCCATATAAATGGAGAGATTGAAGCTGTCAAGGACTTCATTTTGCTTGGAACAACCATCAACACTCATGGAAACAGAAGTGGTCAGGAAATCAAATGACATATTGCATTGGGAAAATCTGCTGCACAAGACCTCTTTAAAGTGTTCAAGAGCGAAGACGTCAGTTTAAGGGCTAAGGTGTGCCTGACCCAAGCCATGGTATTTTCAGTAACCTCATACACATGCGAAAGTTGGATAGTGAATAAGGAAGACTATAGAAGAATTGATGCTTTTGAGTTATGATATTAGAGGAGAATATGAAAAGTACCATGGACTGCCAAAACAACAAATAGATCTGTGTTGGAAGAAATACAGCCAGAGTGCTGCTTGGAATCCAGGATGGCTAGACTTTGGTCTTTCATACATCCATTGTCAGGAGGGACCAGTCATTGGAGAAGGATATCATGGTTGGTAAAGTGGAGGGTTGGAGAAAAAGAGGAAGACCCCCAACAAGATGGATTGACACAGTGGCGGCATCAATGGGTTAAAACATAGCAATGATGGTGAGGTTGGCCCAGGATTGGGCAGTGTTTCATTCTGTTGTGCATAGGTTCGCTATGAGTCAGTACCAACTCAGTGGCACCTAACAACAACAACATCAAAGGAGAAAAGATTGACATTGTCAATGACTTCATTTTGCTCAGATCAACTATCAACACTCATGGAAGCAGCAGTGAAGAAATCAAACGACATATTGCATTAGACAAATCTGATGTACAATAAATACCTCTTTAAAGTGTTAAAAAGCAAAAATATCAGTTTGAGAGCTAAGGTACACCTGACCTAAGCCATGGTGTTTTCAATAACTTCATATACATGTGAAAATTGGACAATGAATAAAGACCTTAGGAAATCAATGCCTTTGAGTTATGGTGTTGGAGAATATTTTAAGTGTCATGGATCACCAAACAAACAAATTTGTGTTGGAAGATGTACAACCAGAATTCTCCTTAGAAGCCAGGATGGCCAGACATAGTCTCTTACACTTCAGACATATAATTATGAGCAACCAATCACTGGAGAAGGACATCATTCTTAACAGCTAAAAAGAGGAATACTCCAAATAAGATTGATTGGTACAGTGACAGCAACAGTGGGCTCAAACATAGCAATGATTGTGATGTTGGTACAGGATTGGGCAGTGTTTTGTTCTGTTGCTATAAATCTCTACCTACTTGACAGCACCTAACAACAACAACAAAGAGCTAAAATAAAGAAACCTGGTGGCACGATGGTAAAGTGTGTGGCTGGTAACTGAAAAGGTCAGTAGTTGAAACCCCATTAGTTGTTCCACAGAAGAAAACCTGGCAATCTACTCTTGAGAAAAATCACAGCCTAGAAACGCCTATAGAAAGTTCTACATTGTTCTATAGCGTCGCTATGAGCTCAGGTTGTTGAGTTAGAATAGACTGGACAGAATACAAGAGTTAAAATTATCTAACTATAAAATATTAGAAGATGGAGAGTTGTTGTTATGTGCTGTGGAGTCGGTTCCGACTCATAGCAACCCTGTACAGGGTTTCCAAGGCTGTAAATCTTTATGGGAGCAGAAAGCCTCATCTTTCTCCTGTGGAACAGCTGGTAGTTTCGAACTGCTGACCTTGCGGTTCGCAGCCCGATTCATAACCACTATGCTACCAGAGTCTTCCCTTTTACAGAAGGAAGTCAGTGGATACAATATTATTCAGTCATGGAAACAACCATAAAATTAATTTAAAATATTCATTTCTAAATGTGGCTTCTCTATGTAGAGTCTGGAGAAAGGGTATGGTGGGAAAATAAAAATATATAATCCTCATGCATTAAAAAACAAAGAGCATGTACTTGTGTCTCTTGAAACACTTTGATAAAAATAAACAGAGTTGACTGGGTAAAGGTGGGTCTAGTACAGAAAGGAACAATAAGATAGCTTGGGTAAAAAGTATTCAAGGCACACTTGTTGAAGGATGCACATGTCGAACAGCACATGGCTGGGGCTGGACCCTCTTTGGACTTGGTAGCATCACTTTCACATGACCCTTAGGTGCAAGCCAGTACCTGGGCACTGAGTATCACTCGGTTCCACAAACCACCAACAGCCATACAAGGTTATTGTTCAATAGATCAATTACCATCTTTTAGGAGAACTTCTCTTTGGTCTTAGTGTCTAAAACAGTGTATTTCTTATTAGCAAATGGTTGTTCTTTATCTTAAGGAAATTGTGTTCAGTGTAACCAACTGCTCTTTCTCGTTCTGTTTTGGTTGTGGATAAAGTTTAGATCTAGGTCACGTAAGAACTGTGACTTTCACTGTAAGGTAGGAGGACATGAGGGTTTTGAAGAGACACATGTCATATTGTTTACAGGATCACTCTGGCTGCTGTGTTGAGACAGTCTACGGAGAAAAGGGTCTACCCATCTATGTATATGAAGGTTATTTTTTTTTATTTTACAAAAATTAGGATACTCTTGTGCAACTTTTTTCATTTTATAATGTATCATAAGCACCTTTCCATAGAAACATCTCTTTCCTTTCAAAAGCAGCACCTTATTGAATTTTTTAAAACATTCATAATTTGTTTAACCTCTTTGGTTAAACATTTAAGTGGTTTTGGTGGTGGTGGTGTGTTGTGGACTTGGTTCTGACTCATAGCAACTCTGCACAGGGTTTCTGAGGCAGTAAATCTTTATGGGACTAGAAAGCTCCATCATTCTCCCACGGAACCAATGGTAGTTTTGAACTGCTGAACTTGAGGTTAGCAAGTGGTTTGCATTTAATTGTTTTCCCATACACTAACAAAGCTGCAAGGATCACTTCTGCACATGCACCTTTGTGTATCTTTATGATAAAAATCTTAAAAATTGAATTGATGGGCTAAAGAGTATGCACACTTAAAACTTTTTATGGATGGAGCCAATGCCTTCTTGAGGGGTTGCACCAGTGGACTGTGGTGTTGAATGGAGGGAGGACTGGGATTGGTGGTGTTTCCAAGAGGAAAAGAAAAGATCAAACAGGAAAACCAATTTTTATTCTCAAAATAGAGAAAAGGAAAACAAGAAATTCAACTGTGATCAAAATAATTAAACCAGAACATTTTAATTTCCATAAAGTATTATTAAAATATAGACTTGTGGATACAGGATGATATGAAATTTTACAAAAATATAGGACTGTCAAATTATACAGTTTATTTAATTTAATATACTGCCCATTTTTAGTTTTTACAGGAATTACAAGAACAGAATCTCTATGCAGAAATTCATGACATATATGTTTGCAAATCAGAGAAAAATTTCCATTTTATCTAAAATTTTTCATTTAAAATCTCAGATGACATCTGACCCACTATGTACAAACACATGAATAAATAATAAGGTGCCCATGTCTTCAAAGCTCTCAGCATTTGGGTTATAAAGAAAAAGTAGGGAATATCATCATTTTTATGCTTCAGCCGATTTCATATTTTCCTTTAAATTTTTTTATCTTCTTATATATACATATTGATTTTATTCACTGTTTCTTTCAGGAAGAATATGTGTAATCCAGTAGTTAAAGAAAGTTGAGATTACTCTGACATGATCTGAAAAGAAAAAAATACATATTATTTTGCTCTTTTTAAAAAAGCAATTAGTCTTTGGGCTCAAAGTAAACTTTGAAATAAGCATCATAACATATAACTTTGGTATTAAATCAATGTTGTTAGTGACTTACCACACTAGTGAGTCTTAGGTTATTTTGTAATGACTTACTATATTTGCCTGATGTGGCGCTGTGGGATAATGCACTGCACAGCAAGATAGTTTGAATCACAAAGTCAGTGGTTCAAGCTCACCAGTCGTTCCCTAGAAACCCTACACAGGGCCACTATGAGTTGGAACCAACTCAATGGTGCTTAACAACAACAACAACCCTATTAATGAGGTTCCTGCTAAATATTTTTAAACCTATGACAAAGAATAAGGATAAATTCTGATTTTACTTGGTTATGAATCTTACAGTTCAGGTTCACATATCCCATTAGACTTGGACTTCATAAAGTCATAGCACACTGTTATATAGAATGTGATTTGAAAGAAAACGGTGTGCTAGATTGCTGTTAGTGCCTCCAAGTCAGTTCTGATTCACAGTCATACTGTATAAGGTTTCCAAGGAAAGGCTGGTGGGTTTGAACTGCAAACTAAACCAGGACTCACTAACTAAAATTAAATGAAAATAGAGGGTTAACCTCAAAATGATGAACTAGAAAAAACAATGTTAAATTAATTATATTTGATACAATGAAGTGAATATACAAGGTGGCTTCAAAAAGTTCATGCAAAATTCCATCATCTTTTAACTATTTTTCCATAAAGTTTTTGAAGTCTCCTTGTACACAACTCAAATTTCATGAAAGCCAATGTGCTATGCCAAGAGTAGTCAAATGCACACTCTCAAGTAGACTGTCTTTGACATCACCTGTCAAACGTTTTATTTATTGCTTCATGCGAGAAATGTAGCAATGAATAAAGATCCATCTCATATGTCAAGCTTTATATACCTTGTAAAGACAATATTCAAATTCTGTCACTTAGAATTCATTTTATAATGGACTTCCACTGCATCTCCAGTTATTAATCACAGAGAGGACATATTAAGTAGTAAGGAAAAGGGAGCAAAACTGATCCACTAGCTTATCAAGTCTATTTCAGTTCCTAGAATTGCCTGCCCTTAGGGAATTTATCTACTGCTGCTGAGGCTAAAGTTTCATTTCCAAGTCAGACTGGACCCACAGTCCTGGGGAACTGCTAGAGGAGGTCTGAATGAGGTAAACTCCTGGGATCTATGGTGCCAGACAGGAGTATGAAAGAATCTATTCAAAGACAAGTAACCTAATCCCTGTAAACCTCTGTTTCCTGAATGTGTGGATAATAGTTAATTTATATATCAAATTCATTACATCCATTGAAGTCCAGTGAATTCCAACTCGGGGTAACCCCATGTGTTGGAGTAGAAATACTCTATAAGGTTTTCTTGGCTGCAGTCTTTATGAAAGACACAGATTGTCAGGCATTTATTCCATGATCCTGCTGGGTTGGTTCAAACTGCCAAACTTTTGGTTAGTGGGCATTTGCAAATCATTTGTATCACTCGCAATTAACTGTGGGAACAGGTAGAACACACACCTTTACAATGTGAGAAGTGTGATAAAACTTAATAAATGACAGCTATAATTATGATAACACATATGTATATATATATATTATGTATACATATATATTATGTTGTTGTTAAGTGCCGTTGAGCCCGTTCCAACTCCTAAAGACCCTGTATAGGGTTTCCGAAGAGCGGCTGGTGGTGATCTTGTGGTGCAGCACATTATCCTTCAGCGCCACAGCAGGGCTATATATATTAATGTGAGATCAATCCAATTAACTGAACACTATAAAACACATGAATTTAACATGTGAAAAGGCTATCTATAGCCTAGTCAAATGAAACATCTATGATTTATGAAAAATAATTATTGAGCAAAGAAGGTAAAGGAGTTATAACAGAAAATAATCTAGAATGACTTTTACAATGCTATTATTTTCAAGCTTATCCCATACAGATGGGAGCTATGTCTACTAATTAAATTTTATAAATTAATTTTGTGGAAAACAGAATTCAAGTTCTAAAAGCTATATAAGTGAAACTGATGTAATGTAGCGAATATTTGAAAATCTTCACTGTTTATAAAATTTTATTTTACAAATTAACTTCACATAGCAAAATTTAAAATGTGTATCTTACATTCACAAAAAGGGAATTCCATTTTTACAGAAAATTCCTTTAAGTTTTAGTTCTATCAACTGCTTAAATTAATTGTGGTTCAAACTAGTGATCTTGATATATGAAACTAATATAGATGAGTTATTCCTACATATGAAAGTGAGCCTTTTTGCTAAATTCTCCCAAATTGCCAAACACTTTCTGGATGCACTAGCATAAGAAAAGTATGAGGAACATAATACATTTTTTTAAATTTAAAATTGCAAATAATTTATTTTCATCTTTTATGAAAATCTCCTATTAGTTTCACTGATTGAATTTTATCTGGTTGGAGATAAAAAATTTTATTCAAGAGTTCTGGTGCTATGGGATAAAGCACTGGACCACAAACTCAGTTTGAACCACAAGGTTGGTGGTTCAAACTCACCAGTTGCTCCTTGGAAACCCTATACAGGGTCACTATGAGTTGGAACCAATTGAATAGCATGGAACAACAACAAATGTGTTAAATACATAATACAGTAGGCCTTTTAGTGACAAAAACTAAACAAGTACTAGGTTTCTAGAGTTAAATAATCTATAAGTTTTCTTCAGTGCCCTAAAGCCAGTTCAGACTTATAATGACCTCTCTGGCAGCATAGTGGTTATTAATCGGGCTGTGAACCATAAGGTCAGTAGTTCAAAACTACTAGCCACTCCATGGGAGAAAGATAAGACTTTCTGCTCCTATAAAGATTTACAGCCTCGGAAACCCTGTACAGGGTCACTATGGGTCGGAATCGATTCGAAGGCACTTAACAACAACATAGGGCTCCCAAGGAATGGCTGGTGGGTTTGAAACACTGAGCTTGTGGTTAGCAGTGTACTGCTTATCCTACAGCCATATCAGAACTCCAAATGATCTATTAAAAGTAATTTATTAGTACTTGTATATGCACAAAAAGTTCCAATTTTCATTTTCGAAGGAATAACACTGCCTCAGTAGTTCTTCCATCTCTCCTATTTTATTTTTCCTTCTTATAGGTTCTATGCCATCAGCAACCAAATAGGCTGCAATTTCTTCCATCTTAAAAATAAAACATTTGATCTAACTTTTTCCTCCAATATTATTTCTCTTCTTCCCTCATGGTAAATGTTCTTGAAAGTATTATCTTTACTCATAGTTTCCAAATTCTCTTCTCCTATTCTCTTGTATCCATTCTATTAAAAGTTTTGGTCCTTCCTTGCTACCTCCCTCTAATTGTCCACATGGACACTGCATGGTCATGGTTATCAATGATTTTCACAACCCTAAATCTATACCTAAATCTCTATACAACAAGTATCTCAAAACTGAGCTCCAGATAGTATCTCTTCTCTCCTAAGTTTACTCCCACTACTCATTGATTTCAATTGCTCAGGCCACACATACCACATCTAGTCTGTGAGAAAATTTTGTTGAATCTACCTATAAAATACATCTAGAATTTGACCACACTTCACCATCCCCACTACTATGACCCTGGTCTTTGCTACAGTAATTGCCCAACATGATTATTATTATAGTTTCTTTCTGGTCTCTGTTTCTGATCTTGAAATCTTCAATCTATTCTCAACACAACAAAGAGATTCTGCTAAGTGTAGCCAAGCCATGTTGCTCTTCTCCTCAAAGCCTTCCTGCTCTTCTCCTCAAAGCCTTCCATTCTCTTAGAACCAACAAACTTACCATGAACTCCAGGGTAAAACATGATATGATCCCCCTGTTACTTTTCTTAATTTGTCTTCTGCTATTCTATTCCTCATTCATTCTGCTTTAACCAAACTAGTTTTCTCAGTGTGCTCATAGTAGACACCTTCTTTCTACTCCTAAAATAGACTAAACACATTTGTACTTGATTGTAAGAATATCTTCTTTATTTTCTTCTTCACAGCCTTATTATTATCAAATGTATTACACAGTACATATTTTGTTTATGTGTCCTATTTACTTTCTGTATCCCTGACTAAAATATAAACTCCAAAATGCAGTATCTTTATTTGCTGTTTTCACTGATAAACCCCATGACACACAACAGTTCCTAGAACCAAATGCCTGAGTAATAAATATTTCCTTAACAAATCATTGACTACATTTGAGCTAGTCCCTCCTAGTTATCCCCACCTACAATGATTTATCAAACTTAGGAGTTAAAATACTTATTGTCCATGTCATTCCTTTGCTAATAATAGCACCATATTGTAACAGCTTTATTGCTGTTTAACTTGAATTGCTATTTGACTTTTTAAAAAATATATTAGCCTTGACTCTTCAGCTATACAGTAAGAATGAAAACCACACATTTATTTTGAGATTCCATTAAAGTAATTTACAAAGTATCTTTTATTCATTCATTCCATCAACAATTTGTCAAGTGCCTATTCTGGGTCAGGCACATAGTGGTGTGCAGGTAAAGTAGTTCTTGACAGATAGATGGATAGATAGATAGATAGATGAAAACACCCTAATTTTCTGTGTTGGCAGACATCCATGCTCTAAACACTCCCACCATGGTCTACTTCCAGACATCAAATGGTATCACTGCATGTGCAGTTGGAAAGACATGAGCACAGTTGGCTAGTAGTCAGCTTTAGCACAGCACTGCTTACACAAAGCAGGTACCGAATAATGGCTAAGTAAGTAAACAAAAGAAAAATCATTTTAATAATTCAACTCTCTAACTACAGGGGTTCAATAAGTCATGACAAGATGAGTGGAGACATGTATGCTCTAACAATCAACAGAGGAGAAGGAGAAAAAAAGGAAGAAATACATTTTCTCATTTCCGCTTATGCTTATGAAAATTTGGCCCTTAATGTTAAATAGCTCACAAGGTTGGAAGATTAGCTTATACATATATTTCTGCATATACAATAAGATATATTTTTATATCAAGCAGACACACAAGAAGCATATTCCTATATGGGATTCTATTCTTCCAAGCCATATATGCAATACTATATTTTCTGATTCATTACTGTTTTAAGTGTAATTTTTTCAGTGGGAAACCCTGACAAGAGCATCTTAAGCAGTACAGTACATACCAAGAGGCATCATACAATGTTCTGGGAACACTTCCAGAGCACTCTTCAATCTTTCAGTATCTTGCAAAAGTAACAACGTTTTCATGTGATCCAGAATGAGCACATCTGAGGCAGACATGCTGTGAGATTCAAGATGTTTAAATAGCTCTTCAGTGGTCTCTATGAAGACAGTTGAACTGGAATCTTCAGAGATACCTAAATAAAGGTAGTATTACTGAAAAATATACATTTCACTTTTTTTTTTTTTAATTTCTCTGTTTTTAAAATAAAACAAAGATAAGCTTTTATCTCTAAAAGAAAGCCTCAAACATATGTTTCTACTTAGAAATGTTTGAGTTATAAAAAGCTACCACACAAGATAATCAGAAAAGAACTTTGGAAAATAGACAAGAAGACAACAAAATACTACTATTTGTTGAATGACAATGAAATTCTTAACTGTTTATATGTAGGAACATACTTTACTAAATATAGCATGCATGAACATATTTAGGTCATGTATCTAAAATATAATAAAAGAAGAGGACTATTTTGTAGTCTTTTATTATTTGATATTATTATTACTTAATAATAATAAATATTGTTATATTTAATTAATATTTAATAATGTTAATTATATATATATTATTATATTTTTAAGGAAAATTATAAAAAGAAGATACTGGCCTCAATTGTTTCTATTGAAAAATCAACCATCAATGTGATTATTGTTTCTCTAAAAATAATGTTTTTTTTTTTTTTTTTTTTTTTTTTTTTTTTGGCTGCATTTTAAGATTTGTATTATTGGTTTAATTTGCCAATTTTTCATCTTTTTGTCCATGTTCTTCATATTTTCTTCAACATCTAAATCATAGCTGTTTTAAATTCCTATCTGATAGTTTAATATTTTCTATAAACCAAATAAAGAAAACAAACCAAATTCATCAACAATGAGTTAGTTCCTAATCTAAATGACTCTGTAGGACAAAGTAGAACTGGCCATAGAATTTCCAAGGATGCAAATCTTTTACAGGACTCCTGAGGTGGCACTGTAGGATCAGCAGTAAACTGCGAACTGCAAGGTTTGCAGTTTAAATCCACCAGCTGCTTTTCAAAAACCCAATAAAGGGCCAGTATGAGTCAGAGTCGACTAGACGGTACTTAACAACAACAATAATAACAAACCTTTTTCAGGAGCAGACAACCATATCTTTCTCCTGTACAGCAGCTGGTAGATTCAAAACATGGACCTTTTGGTTAGCAGTTAAGCATTCTAACCCCTACACCAACAGGGCTCCTAAATATTTTCTACACCTGTTGTACTATATTTCTTCTACTTTTATTTCCTCTTGATACTGGGTTTTACGGCCTTGTGTCTTAGCATGCCTGACAAATTTTTACTGAGCATATATGTATAATTGTAGTAGACTTGGATGATGATATTTTTCTCTAGAGAGGGTTCTCTCTTTCCCCTGGTAGACAAACAGATTGGAAGTTCATCAACTTGATGCATTTGGTGTCTGAGCTGACTAGAAGCTGGGTTTCATGTTTGGTAAAGGATAATCTATCTCTGGTTTATTCTAGATACTAGGATAGCATCCTTTAGGTAATCCACTCCAGGGTCTGTGTTAGTTTTAGGTCCTTTGGGTTTACCTTGTATCCTCAACAGTACAAGCTTTCCAGATTTCTGGTCCCTATTTGTGTCATCTGAATCTTTGTTAAATATGTTTTCAATACACTAATACAAATTGTTGATAAACTTAAAAAGAGGAAAGAGTTAAAGTCACTTGTGGCCATCTTGGCAGTAAAACTGATCTATTAGTAATGGTATTTTCATAACATTTTTGAAAGAACTACCATATTATTATATAGTACATACTTCTCCATCTTAATTATAAAAATACTTGGTAAAATTGGATAATACTAAAATGGAATCTAACAATAATGAAATTAAAATAGAAAAAGACTTTATTTGAGTGCCATTGCTCATGGTATACCTTACTAGATCCTAGTTACCAATTTTTGCCTTTCTAATCCATAGGTAAGACTTTAATAAAGTTCAATACAAATCTCCACCAATCTTCAGTCACTTGTCTGTAGTGGCTTGCATGCGATGCTGTACGCTTTGCCACCTGAATTTTATATACCAGCAGGGTGCCCCATAGTGGACAGGTTCCAGCGGAGCTTACAAACTAGAAAGGAGGAGAGGTGAACCATTTCTGAATGCTTAGCCACTGTAAAAACTATGAATATCAGCATAAGATTGTTAGACATAGTGCTGGAAGGTGAAAATACTATGAACAGCACAAAAATATTGTCAGATATAGTGCCAGATGATAAGCCACTGAGGTTGGAAGGCACTCAAAATACAACTGGGGAAGAGCTGCCTCCTCAAAGTAGAGCTGATGATGATGACACCAAAGGCATAAAGCTTTTGGGACGTTCATTTGCTGATGGGACATAACTCAAAATGAGGAAAAACAGGTGTTGTTGTTGATGTAAAGTGTTGTAGAGTCAATTCTGACCCATAGTGACCCTGTAAGCGTTTCTGAGGAGCAGTTGGTGAGCTTGAACTGCCAACCTTGCAGCTCAAACAGCTTTGCAGTCTGACGCATTAACCCACAGTGCGACACCAGGGCTCCCATTAATAATCAGACCATGGAATATACAAAGTAGGAATCTATGAAAACTGGAAGTTGTCTACATGAAATACAGTGCATAAAGATTGAAATCCTAAATATTGGTTGTGTGCTGTGGAGTCGATTCCAACTCACAGTGACCCTGCATAGATTTATGGTAGTGGAAATCCTCATCTTTCTCCCATGGAACAACTGGTAATTTTGAACTGCTGAAGAGAATTGGCAATGAAGACTATAAGAAATTATTTATGAAGATCAAAGACCACAGCCTTCAGCATGGGTTGCACTTCAATATAAAGAGAGAAAAAAAATCCTTACTATTGGACCAATAAGTAACATCATGATAAATGGAGAAAAGACTGAAGTTGTCAAAGACTTCATTTTGCTTAGATTCATTATCAACAGTCATGGAAGCAGCAGACAAGAAATCAAATGATGTACTAAACTAGGCAAATCTGCCACACAAGATGTCTTTAAAATGTTCAAGAGCAAAGATGCTAGTTTGAAGACTAAGGTGCACCTGACCCAAACCATGGTATTTTTGATAACCTCACATATATGCAAAAGCTGGACAGTGAATACGGAAGACCATAGAAGAATTTGAGTTATGGTGTTGGAGAATATTAAAAATATTAAGGGCTCCCAAAAGAACAAACAGATCTGTGCTGGAAGAAGTACAGCCAGAGTGCTTCTTAGAAGTCAGAATGGCACCTAACAATAACAATAACAAAGGATATATACTTATTAATTAATTTATAAAAATGAACATAAGTTCATTAAAGTCTAAGATCTGTACTTACCTTTCATACAGAAATGTAACATACAATATCAGCATGGTTTAACATCTAATTTCAGAGAAATAAATCCATCATGAGACCAACATGCATCTGAAGTCACTATTTTACCGAGGTTGGTTCTGTTTTATTTCTTTTGCTAAGAATTAAGAAATGTGCTATTCTAGATCTTTGGTAGAAATAACTGAAATGTTCTTATTTGTTTCTCTAATTACTTATTTTGAAATTTTTAATGTATTTCATAGCTTAAACATTAAACATTTTACTATGCTTTTTATTTTCAAATGACTACTCAAAAGAACCATTAAAGAAAAATCATACCATCACAAAAATATAGTTCTTGTGTTGACTTTAAGAAGTTTAGAATACCATCTGCTTTTTCATTGATACTTTTAGTAACTTCTTCATTGGTGTCTTTAAAATCTTCCTCATTGGTGTCTTTAGAATCTTCCTTGTTTGAGTCTTCAACATCTTCCTTATTAGAGTCTTTAACATCTTCTCCATCAGTATTTCTTAATTCATCTTGTTCACTGCTGCTTTCCTCAGGCTGGTACATGAAATTGACGCCAGAAACTTTTGTTAGTAAACCAGCTGCTTTCTTCTTTTTAATTTGCTGCTTCTTTTTCAGTTTCCTTTTTTTATTTTTGCTTATTGTGGGGCCATCTGTGTGCTGTGGCTGTAATTTTTCTTGTAAAAGACTCCACTGGTTCTCTGATTCTGCTTGTTCTACAAGGACACTATTGGAATTTTTAAAATTTTTCTTTGATTTATGCTTTCTAATCCTTTTTCTCTTTGGTTGATCGTGAGGATCTTCACCTATAATAAAATAAAAAAAGTGTCAGTAAAATAGAACCTTAACAAACATGTTAGCTTAAGTAAACTTTCTATTAGAAACATAAATGTCTAGTTAAAATAGCATTTAAAATACTTACTTCAGGGATTCTCAACCTTATCTCACACTATTTACACTATCAAATATTCTGAGACTATGATATAAAGAATAGCCTAAGTTTTGTTTTGTTTTGTTTTGTTTTTTACAAGAAAGGCACATAAAAAAACTACTGTCATTGAGTCACTTCTGACTCAAGGGGACACTTATAGGGTTTCCAAGACCATATATCATTACAGGATCAGACAGACTCATCTTTCACTCACAGAGCCACTGGTAGGATTGAACCACTGATCCTGCAGTAAGCAGCTCAATGCCTACTCACACTGCTACATAGTCTCCTTAAGAAAGCCAGGTAAAATTTATAGTCTGTGGTGGTTTTCGTTTTTAAATTATGGTGTGTTTTTAATGGATATGTTGTTGTTGTTAGGTGTCATCAAGTCAGTGCCGACTCACAGTGACTTTATGCATAGCAGAACAAAACAATGCCCGATCCTGGGCCAACCTCACTACTGTTGCCTCGCTTGAACCCATTGATGCTGCCACTTGACCAATCCATCTTGCTGGGTTCTTTCTCTTTTTCTCTGACCCTCCATCTTACCAAACTTGATATCCTTCTCCAGCAACTAGTCCCTCCTGACAATATGTCCAAAGTATGAGAGATGAAGTTTAGCTATCCTGGCCTCAAAGGAGCACTTTGGCTACCCTTCTTCCAACACAGATCTTTTGGTTCTATGGGCAGCCCATGACACTTTCAATATTCTCCTCCAACAACATAACTCAAAGACATCAATTCTTCTACCATCTTTCTTATTATGGGAATAGGAGTTAAATTTTTTTGGGATTAAAATTATTCAATCCATGGCATTTTCAATTGCCTCATATGCATGCAAAAGCTGGAAAATGATTAAGACTAAAGAAGAATTGATTCCTTTAAATTACAGTGCAGGTAAAGAATACTGTATAGACCATGGACTACTAGAAGAATGAACAAATCTATCTTGGAAGAAGTACAGTTAGAATGCTTCTTAGAAGTGAAGATGGCAAGAGTTCATCTCATATACTTTGGATACAATGCTAGAAGGGACCAGTCCCTGGAAAACATCATGCTTGGTAGAGGGTCACTAAAAAAAGGGGAAGATCCTTGATGGACTGGATTGACAGTGCTTGCATCAATGGGTTTAGACATAGCAACAATTGTGAGGATGGTGCAGGAATGGACAGTGTTTTGTTATGCTGGACACAGGGTCATTATGAGTCAGAACCAACTCAAACAACAACAAACGGTCTTGATTTGAAAACAAAACAAAACAAAACAAAATTTAAACCCCATAAATTTATAAGTTTGTAAAATTTTATGTTGGTACCATCTAAGAATTACTTATTTGAATGAGAATAAAAAAATAAGGATGACTTCCCATTTGAATCAATAATAGGTCACATGAAATGAAGATGAAGTTTAGGTACTAGGCTAGCAGAAGCTGGGATAAAAGATGAAATGTATCAATGTGTGCTGGTAAACAGTTAATATATGATATATGGCTCTGGGTAGAGGTGTGTGTGTGTGTGTGTGTGTGTGTGTGTGTGTGGAAAAAGGTCCTGAGTTGTATCATTTGTGAATTTTTGCGGTAAACACTCTCAACGTGGCTTATTTCAAACTACCAACATGATAATTACTGAGTGGGAAGAGATATGCACAACTGATTCTTCCTGAGCTGGTAAGGAGTCAGACCTAGGAAGATGACCTGGGAGAAAGCACAGTGGATAAGCCTTGACTCATAGGATCAGGCAGAAGTGGCCTATCCAAAACATTAATTATAAGGAGAAACACACAGTTCTTAAGGTTATTTCAGGAATGACAATGAATGTCTATGATGAATAACTGCCATCAGGTAGAGCTGACAGAAGATGCCTCATAATATATAAGGATAGATATAGAGACTGAAAGAAAATAATTATTATAAAAATTGTGCACAACATCTAAACCATGTATGCATATGCTTAATGATATGTACACCAATTAAGAATGCAGATATTGTCTGTACCACAACCTTTTGTGTCAAAGTCAATAGAGGGCTCTCAAGGTTCTGCTTGGATAGATCTTGAACTGTAATACTTCTTATTGTGCTGTGAAATGCTTTGATTTTCAGACAATTCTCAGTTTTGGAAAGTAAGTTTTAGATTTTTCTGAGCTACACACTTGTTGTTAAGTGCTGTCGAGTTGGTTCCTACTTATCGCAACCCTGTATAGGGTTTCCAAGGAGCGGCTAGAGGATTTGAACTGGTGACCTTGTGAGCTGCACACTACCACATACATATCAAAGATTATTATAAAACATTAAAATTAAACTTTGTATATCAAAAATTTGAAACACTGTATAAAAGCACAGCTTCATTATATTGAATAAAGCTGTGATTTTCTTTCATTTCCATTTAGGGACTTAAAATCTTGTCCTCTAGAATTCGATACACCATGTATAGTTTGTCCTCCATACTGGAGCTTTTCATGTTAGTTCTTACATTTCAGCTAAGTTTTTCAATAGCCTCAACAGTGATTCTCACTAGAGTTCCAGACAGTCATTAGATCAGATGTGCATAAGATAGGAATCCTACTTGTTATAATGTTCTAGGTGCCCTGTTCAAAACGGCTACTTTTTCCTTTCTTATGGACACTATGAGTCTATTTATGTAGCCTAAATTCACATTAATTTGATTTTTAATCACTGAAAACTCTGTGCCAAATACACTGCTCGACAATGAGCCACTCATGTTGGAAGGCACTCAAAAACGATTTGAGAAGATTTCTCAAAGTATATTTGACCTTAAATGACATGGATGGAGCAATGATTTCAAGACCTTCGTTTATTAATGGGGAACAACTCAAAATAAAAAGAAACAGTTACAAACAACCATTAATAATTGGAAATATGTAATATATGTAAAGTGGGGATAATAATACTTCTATCATAGGGGTATTGTGAAGGGTCTGTATGATTTGGAAAGATGGAAGTTGTCAAAAATTAAATGGAATACATACATAAGGATCAATATCCCAGGCATTAGTAAGCTGAAAGGAACTGTTGCTGGCCATATGAATTGGACAACCATATGGTTTACTACACCAGGAATGGCAAATTGAAGAGGAATGGCGTCACATTCACTGTCCAAAAGAGCATTTGAAGATCTATCTGGAAGTAATACTCTGTCTGTGATTGAATAATATCTATATACCTACAATGAAGACCAGTCAATATAACTATTTTGAATAGATCTGTTTTGGAAGAAGTACAGCCAGAGTGTTCCTTGGAGGCCAAGATGGCCAAACTTGGTCTCCCATACTTCCGACATATTGTCAGGAGGGGCCAGTTGCTAGAGAAGGATATCATGTTTGATAAGGTGGCGGGTCAGAGATAAAGAGGAAGACTCCCAGAGAGATGGATTGGCCAAGTGGCAGCATCAATGGACTCAAGTGTGGCAACAGTAGTGAGGTTGGCCCAGGATCGGGCAGTGTTTTGTTCTGCTGTGCATAAGGTTGCAATCAGTTGGTACCAACTCGATGGCACCTAACAACAACAACAATAACCAATTTCTTCAGACTGAAATTTATCAAACATTCAATCAAGACACATTGATAATTACTGATAATTGGAATGTGAAAGCTGGAAACAAAGAGGAAGGACCAATAGTTGGAAAATATGGTCTTGGTTGATAGGAGTGATGCTGGATATTACATGATAAAATTTTGCAAGGTTTAGTCACTGCAAATAACTTTTTTTCAACATAAAAGACAACTAAATACCTGGACCTCACCAGATAAAATGTACAAGCATCAAATTTGACAACATCTGTGTAAAGAGATGATGGAAAAGCTCAATATCAGTCAAAACAGCCAAGGCAGATGGTGGAACAGACCATCAAATGTTCATATGAGAAGCTGAAGAAAATTCAAACAGTCCACTTGAGCTTATATGACCTTGAACATATGCCATCTGAATTTACAGACCATCTCAAAAACTAGATTTGACAAAACTCAAAATTATTTAATAATAATAATAATAATGATAAACCCAGTTTACTGGTCAGAAAGCAAAGGAGGAACCTGAGACTAAGGCCCTCAACCACTCTTCTGATCTGGAAAGGAACTCATCCTCATGGCACAGTTTTAAGCCAAGCAGTAGATTGTATGTTTTTGTGTGTGTGTGTGGGGGGGGGCGGGGGCGGTTTGTGGTGGCGGCAGCAACAATACTAGGCAAGGTATAGTCACCATGGAATGGTCAATCATTCAAAATCAAATGGGCAATATTTTCCATAAAGCTGGCACCTAACAACAACATGTGTCAATAAGGAGTCTTGGTGGTGCAATGGTAAAGCAGTCTGTTTACCACTGTAAAAGTAGGCAGTTGGAACCCACAAGGGCTCTGTGAGAGAAAAGACCTATTGCACTCTGTTCCCATAAAGATTATAGTCTTGGGAGCCCTCAGGGCATTTCTACTTTGTCCAGTAAGGTCAGGTCGGTGTGAGTCAGAATAGCCTCAGTGGCACATAACAAGGTATGCAAAAACTTAATGCAATTCACACTTAAAGTAGGTACAATTTATTGCATGTCACTTATATCTGACAAAGCTCTTTTATTTTATAAAAATCAAGTTTTCTATAGTGAGATTGCCTGGGTTTCCATATCATTGACTAGCCTTAGATCAGTTTTGTCATTTGTAAAGTGGGGATAATAATACTTCTATCATAGGGGTATTGTGAAGGGTCTGTATGTTAATACATGTAAAGTACTTAGAATACTGCCTATCACTTAGTGGGAATGATGAACCTGCATAATTTTGCAGCAGTTTGGTTAAGTGGTATTTTGTTATTGTTGTTATAACAACCTTGTATATGGTTTCCAAGGCGGTGAATCTTTTGTAGAAGCAGAAAG